CTTCCAGAAACCTGAAAGATAGCATTTTGCGGAAGTCCTGTTCAGAGTGTCATTTGAAAATAGATAAATATGCTGATCAACTCAACAGTGTGCAGATCAATTGCAAATAGTTAAAATAAATCGGAAGGAATAGATAAACACAAGCATTGGCTTGTCATTGCCAATATTTATTTTCTATGATTTTCTTTCTTGTAGATGTTGTCTTTCCATTGAGGAGTTACTAAAGGCAATATTTTTTTTTTCCCAGAAAATCTGCAATGTGGATAAATGGTCCGATCCTAGAATGTTTGGCTGAAGAAAATGATGTTGACCTTCTTGGCTGGAAAGAATGTTAAGGCCTGGTTCAGAAGAGAAAGAGATAATATTCAACAGTTGCGAGCTGGTAAATTCTTGGGAAAAAGAAGTTGAACGAGCAGCATATTTTTGCTTATTTGACCTGTAGTGTCCTCTTTTGTAAAGGGCTGGGAGGGAATATTCAGACTTAATCAGAACCAACTGATTATGGATTCTTCTCTGTCATACACTGGTGACATTTCCTTCTAGTTTCGCAATAAGTAAAACTACCATCTCATTCATGACTTGGAAAAAAACAAAAAAAAAAAAAAAGGCCGGACCACAAGAGACTATTGTACGCAGCCTTACCTTGCATTTTTGCAAGAGATTGTTTCCACGGTTCGAACCCGTGACCTCTTGGTCACATGGCAACAACTTAACCAGTGACGCCAACTTTACCAGGAACTAAACAATAAATTCGCAACATCTTCTTTTACCATTATTAACTTAATTTAATCCCGGGAATAGCAACAGTACTTTATTATTACAGCAGTGAATTTGAACCTTTTCTGGCTTTCTGCAATGAGAGGAGGAGATTGGCATTTGCCAATAGTTTTAGAGGTAGTAGTGAATTAACATGAATTTCGCAAACGTCTCTGTATAAAAGTTGCATTCATTGTGGTGTTTATCTTGAAAAGTTTGAGTTTGCAAACTCAGCTTTTCACTTTTCGCATTAACATGAGTTCAAAAATTTTCAAGGAAGATTATTCCTAACTTCATTTTTTTCCCCGCAAAAGCATACAGTATCAAACAAATATGTTTTGCAAGAAATGCATACTCAATATTTCCTTTGTCAAGACAGCTACGCCTAAAAGAAAGAGTTTTTCATATTGTCAGTTACTTATTAAATAATATTTAAATAAAGATCATTACTTTTGTTTTATTCCAAAAAGAGCACATTCATTTACAATTACAGCATTTTTTCAAAATCATGTACGTTTAGTGTTAAAAAAAATATTATTATTAATATCTCAAAAAGAATGGGTATTTTAATATTTTTAATATCTCAATGCTTATTAACTTTGAATGACTATTGAAATCAGTTATAATTTTTGTAATCTTAAAATTGATCAAAGGTCTTGTCCGTTTGGTAACATTAATTGTGATAATAATATCCTCTTAAAGGCAATGATTATAACAGTTTCTTTTTGTAATTGAATTCTTGGTTCTTGATGATCCGTTTTGGTTTCAAATGACGTTTTGGCATTGAATTTTTGGAATTAAATTTATAACGTTTCTTTCATGGAAGATGTCTTTGGTATATATAAAGCTATCTACTTGTATTCACGGGAGTAGTGTGAAAAAATAGTAAAAACTTTTCTTCTTCTTTCTTTTGTGCTGGGTTTTCTTCTTATAAATCTTTGTTGTTTCTGCTCCTAGTTATACTAGAAGAGTTTATTGAATCCTGGGGGATACGCCTAATTTATCACGGTGTGGGCGAAATATCCTTAAGGACAGTGTCCTTGACACGCCTCAAGCTAAANTTTTAGTTCTCTATTTAGCTGAAGTTTTTGTTTGTAATTGCTTAACTTAAGCATAGTAGTTGAAGTTTTGTTCTCTATTTGCTAAAGTTTTTGTTTGTAATTGCACTAAATAAGCTGAAGTTTTTTTGTCCTGGTTTAATTAGTTTGGTCATTAAGCTTTTTCAAAAACTTCAGCAGAAGATGCTGAAGTTATTTAGTTCATTTATAAAAACTTCAGCACTAAATAAGCTGAAGTTTTTTTGTCCTAGATAAGCTTTTTTCAAAAACTTCAACAGAAGATGCTGAAGTTATTTAGTTCATTTGTAAAAACTTCAGCACTAAATAAGATGAAGTTTTTTCGTCCTGGATTCATTAGTTTTGTTGTAAAGCTTGTTCAAAAACATCAGCAGAAGATGCTGAAGTTATTTAGTTCATTTGTAAAAACTTCAGCACTAAATAAGCTGAAGTTTTTTTGTCCTGGATTCATTAATTTTGTTATAATCAGACTACTATAAAATAATCAGACTGCCAACAGTATCTAAATCATAAAATTTTGGAAACAAATAAACGTGAAAAGAACAGAATTATCATGAAAAGAATCACTAAGTGTGACCTTAAACTTCCCGTACGTAGAAATATTCACAAATTATTGTCTACTAACTTACGTAATTATTTATAATTTATTTTTAAATAATCTGATAAACATACTTATGGCAATCATCCCATGAACTGAAGTTTTATAGCAGCACCAACAACAGCAGAAGAAAGAAGAAGAAGAAGAAAACGAAGGAGGAGAAGAAAGGGGGCTGAAGTTGTTTAAAAAGTGGGTACAAATTAAAACTTTCTAAAAAAAATAGGTATAAGTTTGCCCCGTGTAATTTTTACGTTGGAAAGAGCACACCACTAAAGTAAAGTGACCCAACTACTCAAAATACTATTATAATAATGGATGTGGGCATGAATAGCACTTTTATATGATCAAAATTCTTAAGATTGAACAGTAAATTTATAACTCCAACTACAATGGAAGATAAGTTTATAACTGCATTTCAGTACACTCATCAAATCAATAATTATATAATATGTGTCATGTTATGTTATGTGAAATTTAAATAAAATGTAACATAATTAAACATTTAATAAGGCACACTAGAACTCACGGTATAAAACTTCCTGATGAAGGAAATAGAAAATTAAGAGAATTCTAAAATGTAATTCAAAAAATTAAATGTTAAACTATAATCCATAAATTAGTTTCATAAATCGTTCTATATTTTGCCTTAAATAATTTATCTAATTATTAAATATTGGCACTTCACTCAGTATTAAAATCTGAGCTTCTCTCTCTAACTTTTCTCTCGGCGCAAGTTAACGTGGCTAGCTAACCTACGCCGGAAGCCATGGGAGGGAGGGGAAGACCTAAACGGAATCAACAGAAGAATGCAACGGATGAGCAGCGTTCTTCAGCAACTAGAAATGCAGTGTTAGAACTGTTTGTATCTCCAAAAGGGATACGAATTGAAGAACCAGAGGAAAGACCCAAGTCTAGAAACATGTAAGCTGTGGAAAACAAAGAGGAAGGAGATCTAGCTAGATCCAAAGGGAAAATGAAGGAAGGGATGAATACTCCAGCTCCAACAACAGGTATGGCTAGAGGAGATGAGGTGGGAAGTAAAGAACAAGTGACAAAGAAGAACACCGATGGAACAGTACCATGCAATTATGGTACTGTAGAGAAAGCTAAAGAAGATGGCAAGCAGGGCAAAAATAGGGCTAAAACATGGGCGAATATGGTGGGTGGGAACAAATTGGCTATGAAGGGTATGAACCTCCAGTTTATTGCCCTAATTGTGCAGAATGGTGAAAAAATTGTGAAGATTGAAGCTGAGGATATAGAGCAGGATACTGAGAAATGGAAGAATGCTATTGTGATATACGTGATAGGTGAATCTCCCACTATTGGAGCTATGGACAGATTTGTGAATTCAATGGGTAAGTACTCTAAGAAACCTCAGATCTACTATCATAATGAAGATTATTTCATTATATGATTCAATAGCGTGGAGGAAAGGGACCAAGTATTGTATTCTGGGCCACATACTATTAATAATAGGCCAATTATTATGAAGGCATGGTCGGAGGATTTCAATCTCCATGATGAAGTGTTAAAGACAATCCTATTATGGGTTAAGTTGCCCAATTTACCCATTAACTGGTGGAGTATGACTGCATTAAGCAAAATAGGAAGTGCCCTAGGTAATCCTATCTATGCGGATGAATGTACAACTGGAGCAATTATCATATGCTATATTACTTGTAGAAATGGACATCACCAAGCCCCTTACAAGGCAGGTGAAGCTACAGGACCCTAAAGGGAAGGAATTAGTACAGGAGGTGGAGTATGATTGGGAACCAAAGCGTTGCAGTAAATGTTTGAAAATAGGACATGACTGTGATGAAAATAGGAAGCCAATGCAACAACAAAGAAATGTGCAGCAGAAGAAGGCAACCAAGGGTAGAATGATATGGGTCAGAACTGAAAAAGAAGGAGGTAATATGACTAAGGAAAATGAGCAGATGCAAGAAAGTTCAGACAATAGAAGGGCTAATCCGGAACAAGGAACTGATGAAATGCAAAGCAAGGAAGCAGGGTGGATCATAGTGGTTGGCAAATCAGCGGCTAGAACAACTAAATCCAAACAAAATGAGGACCATAGTGTTGATAAGACAAATGGTTTTCAGAGCTTGATGACTAACCAGAGAAATGAAGAAACAGGTACTAGCCAACCTAGCAGCCAAGGAGACCAGTGGTATTACCACCATCCTTATTTCATTCCAGTATGAGTGTTATTACTTGGAATGTTAGAGGACTGAATAAAGTGTACAAGCAGAAAGAAGTAAAGGAGTTCATTAGAATAAACAATAAAGCTGTTATAGCATTAGTAGAACATAGGGTCAAAGAAATGAAAACCAAAGAAATAATCAAAAAGATAGCTCCAGGTTGGGAATGGATTTCAAATGCAAGAACAGGAGAGAAAGGAAGAATCTGGGTAATGTGGGATCCTAGAATCTACATTTTTGATCCTAGTGAAATAGATGATCAGATTATTCATGGGCAGATTAGAGTGAAATCAAAACCAGTCAATTTTGGTTTTACAGCAGTATATGGTCTTCATACCCAATACAGCAGGAGGATTTAACATAATGAATATAGCACTGTGGAATAAAGCAGCAGTATGTAAACACTACTGGGACCTATGCAGAGAAAAGAACAAATTGTGGATCCAATGGATTCACAGTTACTATATTAAAGGCAGAGAAGTATGGGGTATTCAGGTGAAGCAAGCATCTTGGATGGTGGGAAAGATACTTAAAGCACAGGAGACACTTGAGAAGGCAGGTTTCAATTATGAAGAAGTAAAGAGAACCAAAAAATGCAGTATCAAAAGAATATATCACAGGTTGTGTGGCTCATTTGAAAAGGTGAGATGGAAGAAGGTAGTATGCCAGAATGCAGGATGCCCACGATGGACTTTCCTGCTAACATTGACAGCTCATGGTAAACTATACACGAAGGATAGGCTTCAGAAATGGGGCATGCATGTAGAAACTGAATGTGTACTCTGCAGAACAGAGGAAGAGAGTGTTCAACACTTGTTCTTTGAGTGTGAATACTCAAAAGCACTATGGAACAGGATACTAGCTTGGCAAGGAATGAGTAGGGGAGTACAGGGATGGGAGCAAGAACTGGCATGGGCTGTATACAAAGCCAGGACAAGGAACCCAAAGTCAGAACTATTCAAGATGACCCTAGCTGCAACTGTGTATTATGTATGGAAGGAACGTAATGCAAGTTTCAGGCAAAATCAGGGGATGGAAGCAATATGCATGAAGATTGTCCAAGAACTTCACTGCAGGAGTAACAAATACATAGAAGCAAGGATGAATAGTCTTAATTGGCATCCTTGTAATAGATAGATATATGCTTATGATAAAGGAGGGATGGGGAACATAGAAGAGTAGGATGGAATGTACGGGTTTTGGTTTCTCTTGTACATATTTCTCCCTGGTAAATAGAAATTTTAATTACCAAAAAAAAAAATATTGGCACTTCAAAGTTAAACTAATTACTTGGGCGCTTACTAGGTGCAAGGATATTTTAAAAAAATAAAAATAAAATATCTATCCCACTTTTTGATACCTAACACATTCTAAAATTTATGACTCATTTGATATATGTAAATTTTACCAGCTTCAACTTATATGATTATATATAACTTGAAATGACACGTAGTTTTAAGAAAGAAATGAAGATGTTTAGAATTTATGGTCTTAAATATGCTCTAGTATTTATGTGGGTATTGTAGGCATACAAAATTTATTTATTTAAATTCAAGAAAATAATTTGGACTATATATTAAATATGTTAGTCCAACTAAATATTGTGGGCTAATATAATTAGATTATTTATATAAGTCCAAATGCATATGGGTTAAATAAATGGGTCCAAATATATTGGGCTAGCCCATTTAATTGGGATACAAGTTATGAGCCCACTTTATTAGGCCCGAGATATCATCTTCCTAGAGGCCTAGTTTGGTGCCACATGTCAAATGACGTGGCATGACAGTCAAATGGAAAAGCCAATATGATCATGCCACATGTCAAAATGATAAGGCATGCCAAGTCAAATTAAAAGGCCAATGATCACACCACGTGTGCAAGTGACATGTTCTGGCCAATCAAATGCGGCCTTGTCACTATTCAATCTGATTGGTCGGAAAGAGTTTTGTTCTTGTCATAACTCTTCCCTCCCACAACTATAAACAGGAGTCTTAATAACTCAGAAAAGACATCAGAAGTTATAACAAGAAGCAAGAAAGAGCTCGTGGATCAAACACTGCAAATTCCTCCACAAGTTTCAAGCTTCGAGCAATCAAGTTCAAGCTCAAGAACGAAGAACAAATCAAGTTCAAGCTCAATAATGAATAACCAATCAAGGTCAAGTTCAAGCAATCAAGCTCAAGCTCAAGCTCAAGAACAAGATCATCGTTCGTGGCAACTACTACATATTCAAGATCAATCTCAAAGGCCCTTGAATTTATTTACTATTGGAAACAAGATCAGAGGATTCATAGAGATTGTACACTCATATTATTTGAAATCAAATACTATGATTGTCGCAATATTTTTCGGTCCTGATTTTATTTTCTTGACGCAAATTTATTGTCTACAAATTCTAGCACGCCTAGTGGGACAATCTCTACCTCTCATCTCAACTTTTCAATCACCAAAGTTCAAGAACATTGAAATGGCTTCAAAGAAAATCAACTCCAGCTCAACTTCCACCAAGGCTGCTAATTTCAGGTGCTATGTTGATGTGGAAAGCATCCTCGATGTTACCTTTGGAAGCTTTGGACCAATTACGAGGAGCAAAGCAAGCTCGTTAGGACAACAAGCACCCCAAGTATCGTCCGCATCAACCCTTGTTTTAGGATCTTCATCCTCAAAAGGAGCAAGATCTTCCACAAACGCACCCAAAGGAGGAAGCGATGTTGCTGAAAAGATCAAGAAAACTCTTGTTCTGCTTGATCTCTCTAGATCCAAGCACTCTGCTGTGAAGGAAGATGACGATGCTTCAAGTGATGGATCCTCCCCCACTTACACCACATAGCGTGAGCCAATCAAGGATCAATCTGTGTGAAAATCCATGCTACTCTCCATCGTCCATGACAATCATGCAAGCCATGGTGACAAACACTTCATCTGTGGAGGAGCAGTTAGCAAACTTGACAGAAGCAATCGCTGGCTTGACCCAGTGCATGCAAAATCAAGATGCTAGAATCGACAAGCTAACGGATAGGGTGGGAATCTTTATGGAAGAAGAATCCACCCACGCACCTGGAAAGCTCCCAGAAGTTTTAGAGAGTGATTCTCCCCCAAGACAAGTAGCATCCGCTAAGGCTGTCCCTGTCTCATCTGAAGGGATGATTCCAATCGATCAACTGAAGGAGTTTATTGAAGGAACCATTAAGAACAAGTATGAAGTTACTGCCAAGTCCTCCCTTACATATGCAAAGCCGTACACTGCAAGGGTCGATATGTTGAAGATGTCTGCTGGTTATCAACCTTCAAAGTTTCAACAGTTAGCTAGTAAAGGTAATCCAAAGCAACATGTGGCGCACTTTGTTGAGACGTGCAACAATGTTGGGACTTATGGAGATTGCCTCGTCAAGCAGTTTGTCCGCTCGCTAAAAGGAAATGCTTTTGACTGGTACACAACCCTTGAGGCTGGATCTATTGATAGTTAGGATCAACTAAAGCAAGAGTTCCTCAATCGCTTTTATAGCACGAGTCGTACTGTGAATATGATAGAACTTACAAATACTCGTCAACGAAAGGGTGAACCAGTTATCGACTTTATCAATCGTTGGAGAAATGCAAGTCTCAACTGCAAAGAGAGGCTTAGTGAAGCTTCTGGCATAGAGATGTGCATCCAAGGCATGCATTGGGGACTCCGCTACATCTTGCAAGGTATCAAGCCTAGCACATTTGAAGAACTTGCGAGTCGTGCCAACGATATGGAGTTAAGCATGGCCTCCGCTGGAAATGAAAGGCTGCCTATCTATGAGCCTTGCAAAGGGAACGACAAGCAAAAAGTCAAGAAATGGAGCAACTTTGTACCAAGGTCTGAAAACAAAAAAGCTATGAATTTCAAAACATCACCTGTGAAGTTCACAACGAAGGTGAGCAAGAAGCAGAGTACGAAATCCACTTCTTTTCAAGATAAACCAAATGGGAAGTTGACCTTAAAATAAATGCAAGAGAAGGAGTACCCATTTCTGGATTCTGATGTGCTAACAATTTTTGAAGAACTCCTCGAGTTAAATCTCATTGAACTTCCGGAGATGAAGCGGCCAAATGAAGCTGGTAAAACGGACGACCCAAATCACTGCAAATACCATCGACTTGTGAGCCACCCTCTAGAGAAGTGCTTTGTCTTCAAGGACAAAGTTATGGACTTGGCTCATGAAAAGAAGATCGTGCTTGAAGATAAGAAAGCAAGCGCAAACCAAGTCTCTATCACCTTTGGCTCATTCAGCCCGGATGAATTATGTGGTTTTAAAGAAAGTAAAGATGAAGAATTATTGGAGAACAACAAAGCTGAAGTCGATCAACCGGATGATGATGAAGGTTGGACGTTGGTGACTCGTCGTAGGCGCCACAGAAGGAGACCATGAAAAGAATCGATAGAACAACCAATAAGGAAAATGATGGTAAAAAGACCAATGAAACAGAATCCAGTTAGGCGTTTGAAGAAAACAAAAATAGAGGTGCACCACCCTCAAAAGCCACGACATCCAGTGACCTTGGAGGATTTCTTGCCATGTTGGTTCCGCATGAATATTTTTCGTAATGGTATTGAGGCCTCTTGTTGCAATGCTGATAAAGGGGAAGGAAAGAGTGATGACCTACCGTTGTCACCATCTTCAGAAAAGCTCATCGAGTCTATTCCTCAAGAAGTTAATACGTGCGAGGAAAAAGTTACGTGCACAAATGACGATCTTCTACTAGGTGATAGTCTTCATAACCGCCCATTGTACCTGGTTGGCTATATGTGTGATGAAAGGGAAAATCGAATTTTGGTTGATGGAGGATCCTCAGTGAACATCTTTCCAATTCGCTCTGTGAAAGAATTTGGTATCCCCATGAACGACTCTCGGAAAGTCGTGTGATGATCCAATGATTTAACCAAGGGGCAATGAGCCCTAGGTTCAATTAGGTTGGGAATCACCATTGAAGATATGCAATCAAGTGCATGGCTGCATGGGATCGACGTTGTCACACCTCCTTTTTCTTGATAGGAATAGGGAGTTTTTCCAATTTAAGTGACATTAATCGAAATGTGGTTATTTATTTATTTCAGAGTCGCCACTTGGAATAATTTATGGTGTCCCAAGTCACCGGTTTATTTTAAATCCCAAATCAAGAAAATTTGACTCTGTTTTAAAGTCCGCAAAACCAGAAGACCGGGTAAGGAATTCTGTTAACCCGGGAGAAGGTGTTAGGCATTTTCGGTTCCGTGATTTTAGCACGGACGCTTTAATCATACCTGGCTTGATTAATTGTTTAATTATGCATTTTAGAACATAGGTTCATTTTACCTTTCACCGCTTTTTAATTAAGGCGTTTATGGATTTATCTTTGAAACGGATCACCTGTGTGTAAACTCGCTTTGGGGCATTAAAATCATATCACGCGTACGTGTACACAATTAATCACGCTTTATTAATTATGAAGATTGTTTTGGCCAAAGTCGCGCGAACGCAGACTTTGATTTATTTTGGGAATCACATAATCACGCGAACGTGTACATAATCACGATAATAATTAACTCAAGATTTAAGTTACCTTCTGTCTTACTATCCCTGAATGCAGATCAACTCGCAAATGTAACCAACAAAAGCCTACTGAAGAAAAGTGGCATAAGAGGAAAATCTATATAGAAAGTATTTGCATTTTTTTTTTTGGAAAAATAGTCAAAAGGAACACACTATAATTTGCAATTTTTGCCCTATGTTTTTCGGTGTAAATTTGAGACATTAAGGCATGGTGCAATACTATAAAAGAATATGATTGCTTATCTTACATGGTGCTTCAAAAGAAAGTATGTGAATAGCTCCTTAACCATGCATGTTAGTCTCCTAATCCTACCACCAAAATTCAATTTTCTCGACATTATGTTATCCATAAATTCCTCAATGCCCACCCTTGCTATAATAACAAAGACTTGCAGGTGACAACTACTTTTTATAGATGATAGAGCCCTAGGCAAGTAAGTAGAATACTGAATTGCAAGGGAGAAATTTAGGAATCAAAAGATACCCAAAGAAACCGGCTATTAAGAGAGTGATCAATTCAAAGTCAAAGAAATTAATTAATACTAACTCACAACACATTCTTGTTCGCATTTCTGA